AGGGTGGGCCCGCCGCCGGAGCAGCCCGACGGGTGAACGCTGAGGGGTTTCGTCTTCTTTTCCCCTGTTTAAGGTGCTGCCACCTTATCATTTTTCTTAACATCGGTGTAACTCCAGCTGAGAATCAGCTTGCAGATTGAAACGAGCGGTCCCAGGCGGGTGTCTTCCCCTTCCTCGGATGTCCTTATCTGAGTGGAATTTGACGCCGACTTAATTTTTTACCTAATGCATCCTAATTTACAGGGACTGCCCAGTACCCGTTTTGACCTGACTACGTGAATCTGCCCAGAAGACAGCCTGAAGAGAGGCTCTGAAGCCCTGACCGAGGAACACCCAAGGTGACAACGGTATTTCGAAAACCTACGAAGCCACATGGCTGTCTCGCATAACCGCACTAGCGTTGTTTCAATAGAAATCCCATTTGCCTATCAAAAGATCATTAAATTGTGCCGATGACGGAACGACTCGAGGCACGGGGGCCTTTCCATACGCTACCGACTTAATAGATCACCCTTTAAATATAAGCAGATGGAGTCTTAGTTTAAAGGGTGGCAGGTTAAAAGTCACTGCAGCTGTGCGGGCATTAATTTTTCTGAGGGCGCGGATTTGAAGGGCCCACGTTTGCCTACGGCAGTCTGAGCTCCCGGCAAAGGTGTCAGTTAAAGAGGGTTTGGTTTGTTGCATTTAATTAGGTTGCTCTGAAACGAATGCCCGCGTCTGTACCTTTCTCGTCGTGCGTCGGGGTGGCCGTGACGGGGATGTCAAACCACTGCGCCAAGGGGTTGGAGTACCAGACGGTGAGCTCCTCTCCCGGCTGGACATCTCGCAGCGCCCGGTAGAAAATCTGGGAGGGGGAGAAAGGAAACTTCTTCAGGAGGCTTGAGAGGGGAGGCAGGTGGCGGAGAGCGGTGCCAGGCCGGCCCGGAGCCGCGAGTGGGGTACCTGTCCTCCTGGCAGATCCGCAACAGCCTCCAGTGTTTGCTCTTGGGAGTTTCGGGCAGCCCGGATTAACCCTATCCACTCCAGAGCTGAGCTCCCGGCTTCATCCACTAACTCCCCTCTCACCATCCGCACCTGGAAGACAGGCGGCACCGCTGTCACCTCCACGCGAGACGAAGCAGAAAGAAAGCAAAAAGCTT